AACGTAACACACCACTATCTTGCAAGCAGACTGTGAAGGCAGATTCCTTGTCATATGAGAGATGCTCAGAAACTATAGAGTTACTGAAGCTCTAAAAGAGCAATTAGATTAGATTCCCATGTGGGATTAATGCTGTGTCTCTATTTACCCTCTGCAACTCCTTCAGTCAACAGAGTCACACAAGAACACGCAACTTTTAACAGTTTTAAAAGGCAGATGGACTTTGTCAGCACACCTATGATCTTAATTCTGTTCCCCATATCAGACATTCGTCCAGCCTAGTATTGCCACACTGCACCTGATAAAAACTCTGGGTAGGACCCCAACATCTCCTTGTTCCACATTTAGCTTGGAGTTGCAATTATCTGCGTGATACTTGGTTTCAGCTAAGGGTAAAAGACACCTAAGCTAAAAAAAAAAAAAATCATTTGTGCTGTGTGTCCCATAGCAAGGCCAAAGAAAGTGTAACTCACAGTACTTCCGGGTCAAATTCTGAACCAAAAGGATAAATTTTGTTTTTCTGTTTATCAGCAGTTGCAAATAGGAACATCGATGTCTCTCCACAAGAAATCACTGGCTCCACTGTTATCCTTAATGCAAATCTTATTTTAGGGCTCTGCACACTATACAAATCTCATAAATAATTGATTACTTGGAAAAACCATTCTGTGAGCTTCACTGACGTCAGTGGAAATGCACATGAAACAACAGAAATGGGAAATGATACATGGAACCGTGCAAACAGCAGCCAAGTCCCCTCTTTCTCTCCCCTCCCCAGCCTGGCGTGGGTAACTTTTGTTGCTATCTACCAAAACAAGAGTTTTACATTTCAGTGTTCCAGCTTTCATGTGTTGCTGTTTTGGCATATCGCATAGTTACATCTGTAAATGATTGGTACATGTTTTAAAAATTGCAAATGAAGGGAATGAACCACTTGCGGGAGGGAAAAAACCACAAACCTGAAATGAAAGTAAGATGATTCCAGGGCACCCTGCCCTGCACCGGGCAGGGCATCGCACAGCAAATGGCAGAGATTTACAGGGACTTTTGATCACCCTCCCCTGATGGACTTAATTTGTCCTCCAAAGTACTGAACTGTATTAATAGCAAACATTATAATCCCCTATTGCCTTTTGCAGTCTTGCATCTTCCTAAACATGTCACCACTCCTGGAGCTGAAACGTCTAATGCTTACAACTTTCAACAAACATGATTACTTGCCATTAGCTTGCAGCAGTATTCCCCTAAGCTCCTTCTGGGTTACGCTCACATTTGTTCTTTGCTGCTCCCAACTTCTTCCCTCCCCACTAGGCAATATTGATGAGCATCTACGCTGAACATGAACATGGTTCAAATTTTCAGGTCCAAAGCTGTCAAAAAACTTATTGTTTGCTTATGTTACCAAATGCATCATGTCAGACAGTTGTTCTCAGTCCAGTGTGACTGTGGGTATACGTTAGCATAATTATGACCTATTGAGAGATGACTGCATTGAAATCTAGTTTAAAAAAAACCCAAATACTGACAATATCTGTACAGGTAGTAATAGGCACCATGTATACATCCTCTCAGTGTACAATACGCACTATGTGCACTATGCATAAACTGCTGAGTTTACAGGGCCTAAATCTTTCAGAAATTCACTTGGATTAAAGATAAGCTGCTGTGAGTCCTTAAACTCCTGTGGATTCTTGCCTTCTGGAGAGTCAGACAGAAGCACGTTAATGCCACACATTGATTGCACAGTTAAAATAACAGCGCCAGGATATGCAAGAGAACATTCCTCCAGCGTAATTAATCCAACCACATTGCATTTTCTAGTGTCTTCTGTGTTAAATGAGGACCAGAAAATAATGTATCAGCTGGCACAGAGTCATTCAGAGCCTGCCCTGCTTACTTTTAAAATTTCCACTCCCTTGTTACATGATTAACCATGGTTTTGCTTTGACTTCAGTTCAATCCTAGAAAAAGAAATCACAGAATTTTCGAAAGAAATGAAAGACAGCAAAAGCCTTCTAGAAATTGTCATAGTGTCATTCGTATCTTCACTCATAGATGCTTGAAACATAGGTGTCCCCACTAAGATGATCACCGAGATGGCTATTTATGCAACAGAGGCAGACAAATACTTCCAAAAGGCAATCTGCCCCTCCCTGGGTGAAACGCTGTTGTCCAACACCCCCGGCACAACAGGGCTAACACTGGACGTAGCAACAACATTCTCGTTCCTCTGAAAAACACATCATTGCCGCGCATTAGCCCTGCTCAGGTAACCAAGGCTTGGCTGTTTCTCATCCCAGGCAGCAGTCTGTCTGCCTTTCAGCTGCAGAGCCGTCTGCTTCGGAGAGTGGCAAAGCTTCCATGGCTTTGAATGCAGAGCAGGAGCAGGCTTTTGACTACTGACTGTATTTTTAATCTACCAAAATAAACCAGATAGCCTGACAGGATGGGAGGGCTGCCCTTTATCTTGTCTATCCATCAATCTGTCTGGATGAGACAGAGCAAGAGCCCATTCCCTTTTGCAGTCTGACTGGCCACTAGTGATAGGGCCATAAATCAGCTAAGTGAATAAGCAAAACATTTGGGAGTCATGGGATTTGGAGGTACTAGAGGGTCACAAGTAGTTATTTATGAGGTTCAGACAGTGGAACACACAGACAAGATGTGACATAATTGCTGGCAGAGACTGGTGAGCAAAATTAGCCAAACTTGTGCAGAAGTGACAGGCAGCGAGTGGTTCATACAGAGCCGATGGGTCCAGAGGCACGGGATGTGCCACAGAACTTGGCACAGGCACAGTACATGTGGAGTACAAAGCCATTAGTATAGACCACAGTAGAAGACTTGAATCTTCATTATAATAAATGATCAGCAAGAGAGGCACCATTTTATTTCTCCTTGTAATTCATAAAAATCAGGGCAGTCCCAACACAGCTAATGTTCTAAACAAAACACCAAATTGTTGAGTGCTCGGTCTCAAATTCTGGCTGTGCTTTACACCAGAGGACCCAGATACTCACTGCAAAGAAGGATCTCTCACTAATATTTCTCTTTTAGCTTTGGGTGGGCTTTCTTCATTTATTTGTTAACTCAAAGTAACTGAGCTTGAATTTTCCCCATTTCAGAAGATTTTTAAAGGAAAATGTCACAGACCTTGGTTAGAACCACAGAACTGAAGGCCAGCAACTGCAGAATTGCAACTTCATGAAAACTTCTGAGCAGGTCACAGAGCGGGAACGTCACAAGCGCTCCAGTGATGAATGGAGGTCTTGTGTAGAGTGGGGAGGAATGCCCAAGGATCATATTTTGTGTGACTTATCCCCTTCGGTAAATCTATACTCGACTTGATCTTCTCTTCTGCCTCAGGGATTATGAATATAACATAAGTGATTGCTCATGCTGTCCACAATTTACGTATCCATATACCAGATACTCTAAAGCTATTTATTAAAGTGGCATGGACACAAAACACCAAAAGGAGACACACAACACCTATATTTTCTAAGTGAATGAAAGCAATTAAACCCTAACAGCACAGAACAAGACAGTGAATTCATGTCAGTTTGATGAAGCTGATATGGGGTGACAACATGCGAACAGGTCAGTCTGTTCCTTTTGATGTCCACAACATACCCATAAATTCTTTCATAACATAGATGTGCATTTTCATACAGTCAATAAATTTATGGCAAATATCGCAGAGCAAATACAACAAAGTTTTACTAAATATCCAGAAGCAAAACCAACATATCCCTACTTGCTGTCCCAAGACACAACGCCTCCAAGATAACAAACATTAGAGACCACAGCGTACCTGTGCTACAAGTCCCATGTTAGCTCCATGGGACAGTTAAGGCAGATCTTCAACAGCCTGCCATCTTACCAGGGAAATCGGTGTACTCTACAGGACACCACTCCTCCCAAAATATTTACAACAATTTTTAGACCTACAGCAACACAGAGCAATGTCTACCATGACAGTGAAGGCGACACTTCGCTCTCCCAGCTCTGTATCCCCTCCACACAAATCTCAGGGGTGACAGGACCAAACTCACTACCTTACAGGTTGAGTTTCTGAGATGATCCTTGCTTGAAGTCAATACTGCGTCTCCCAGGACCACGGTGGCTATGCCCGTTGACTCAGACCACAGAGCTCTTCATAGCCGTTCAACAGGTCTCTCTGTCACAGATGTTAACGATCTGTATGGAAGAAGCCACGCACCTTATTAGTCTGTTGTAAATGTCACTTAAGTGGCAAAAGAAATGACAAATTCTTGTCCCCCTCACACTTCACTCTCCTAGAAGCTAAGTCTGTGCTCAGTAGCTGCCTACCCAGGATTTCTCTATACTGTGCTGCA